AACCACCAGCATCGTTTTGATTGCACTATTGCAAAATTAGGCTCCCAGACTTTTGCCGCACCCTGCAATTTTTCCGTATTTTTTCCATTTCCAGAAATATAGCAAAAAAACGAGTGAAGTAAAATGGCAAACTGTAGCAAGGTTTTCAGGCGTTCTGATTTCACTACATAACTTTCCATTAGTTTTTCGAGCTTTCTTGATGGCGTATTCACATTTTTGCTGAACACTGGAAAATCAGTTGTTACCCTAAATCTGAATTAACTCATGAAAGAAACTACTGACTTGTACTGACGTGCAGCTTTCATATTTAGAATCAGCGATTATGATTAACCCAGTTCAAGAGTTTCTGGCTTATTTGGCTTTTTTCTGAGGCAAAATACAGCTTTCCATTGCTGAAAATCCTCCTCGAAATTCCCACCGTAATTCTATAGTAATGAAAAGCGGCTGGTAAGTCCCTCCATACTGTGAATCTAAGTTTATCCTCACAGAATGGTACCTCAGGCTCGGCAAAAGACATGAGAGCAAGAAAGTTATTAACAATCAAACAGTGTGCACATCTTTTTGGGACACCCTGTATATGGCAAAAACGGTAAGAAAAATTTTGGGACATCCTTATACAATTGAGCTCCCAACTTTTGGGAAAAAACTGATTGCGACGAATTTTTCCGTCGCGGCATATTTATCTTCACAAAACCGTCGCGATGCTATAACTTTTTGAACTGGTTTTTAAAAGAAGAAAACATCATTGACTGCTATGAATCCGGCGGTTTAGAACTTACCTCTAATTTTTGAAAATACTTTTGCTTGACCTATCGCGCGCATATGACGCGACAAAACCGTCGCGCGATTTCCTTGACAATAAGTTTCATGGATCAAAAAATAGATTTTCGAATTCCTAGCAAGTTTCCGGCTTAGAAGGTGCTTCGGATCAACAAAAAAGGTCTTACACACAGCATTTAGCGATTAGTTGGCATATTTTCGTCTAATTCAGGTCAAATATTTTAGATAATTTATAGAGTTTTTTGAGCGAATTGAAAGCAAATTGCATTGCAGTGTCTCATCAATACTTTCGACCTACCAGATGTGATGCTGGCTGATTAGCCCCTCAATAGCGTGTTAGCTCGCAGACGCTAAGTGCGGATTTCACAACCTCATGATTTTCAAAACTTTCCATCTGTGGCCATATGACTTTGTAATCTGTAGAAGCCAAGACTCTTAACAGAATAGTTTGAATTTGGTTTGTTGTATGAAATCGTTTTCTAGGTACGTGGTCTTGAAATGAGGTGCGCGTGATCCCTTAACGATGCGGCGCCTCATTTTCAAGATCGTGATACAAAAGATAGATTGAAGAGTCAAAACTTCGTCTATGTTCTGAGTGGTACCTGCTGTTCAAAGTTTTCACTTTGGAATATTCGATTATGGGAAGAAGAACCGTCTGGTGGTCTGTGGAAATATGCAAAAAATCACGAATTTGGACCAAATCCAGTATTATCTTAAACCGGCTAACGTTCACGTAATCTGAACCCTGCGAAAAATGCCACTTGAAAGTGTGTGAATCGAATATCTTAGCATCACCTGAATATTCCTCATTTTTGCTTCCTTCTTAATTGGCTGCCATACCTAATTGGGTGCTCAAAAAATAAATAAAAACGTATTTCGAAAAATTGAATTGTTTTTGTTTTCCCAGCAGACTTGGGGTATCACTCGATAGAATAAGGAAATTCATAATGATCAGGAGACGTAATCCTAGTAAAGTTTAGAGCAAAAAAAATCACCCAAAAATTGTATTTTGCAGGAGAAGATGGAAAAAGGAGAATAAAGTTACTTCAATTTCGCTCATTTTAAGTTAGGCTGCTAAAAATCTAAAACTAGCAATAAAATCCCAATCAAGCAGTATAGTAATTTTTTTTGCTCCGCAATTTGCAGCATTGCAGAGAATGAGTTAAAATAGCATCTCTGTGGAAAGTCATGATTTTTGGGTAAGCAACACGAAACAGCAAAAATGGCTTTTGGTATTTTATTTTGAAAATCACAACTTTTCGCAGAAATGCTCTGAGGAAACTAAATTCCATATCTCTGAACCAGAGCTTATAGAAAGCTAAAAATTTACGATTGTACTTCAAAGGCCTTGTAGTGTACAGCTGTTAGTGCAAGAGCACTAACAACAGCACCAATTCGGTAAAAACAAGGGATTTTTCGTTTCCTGATTTCTAGTTAATAAAAAAATTCCAGCAACAACACATCTGTCTTATGTGGAGTATATATGCGTGAGCGAGTGGGAGATCTGTAGGACTGTTTCGAACAAAAATATAGAAAATTTTCAATTTTCTGGGCATCCGAAACTTTCTAGATTTTGGTTTCAAACCTGAGAGGGATGAACCTGGTGCAAAAGCATAAAAGCCGTCTTATAGAGCTTGCTTTGCTCTATCGAATGGTGTCCTGATGTCTACTCAGAATGAGAAGTGTATGGCTTATTACAGCGAAAACTCAGAAACGCAAAGACTTATGGGACAACCTAATAATTAAGATCAAAGCATCAAAATAGTTCTGAAATTGCTTTTAAAAACGTAATCTTCCTTCTAGGCCCTTCAGAGATCCAAAATACCACCTTTCAAATTTGGTGCCACATGTGTTAAAATAACTGATATTTCCAATTGGCTTGTAAAATCTCCAGTTTTTGAGAGTAAAGGTTTGTTCTACATAATTGGTTGATTTCGGATGGAGAAAGGGCCTCCTATACATAGGATACCGTATAGACTCCTGCGTACGGCGTACACTCAGCTGAAATATCTTGAATACTTTTGAATAAAAAGCAGAAATTGACATCAAACGATTGGATTAGCACTTTGAATTCCTTCGGGTAATTCTGTACACGTTTTGTTATCAGGAAAGTTCTGTTGCACCTATTCTTAAATTCATGAATTTCTCAACGAATCTGCATGGTTCTAAATATTCCAAAAAGGGGCTCATAAGGTAGCAAAAAGTCTGAATATTTCCAAATCTGAAAAAGTACGTGTTGTGAGTTATACAGTGCCCCAAAAGTATGTTCGACTGTTTGATGGTGAATAATATAACTCTCTTGTCTTGTGCACTACGGTAGAAACTTTCAGCTTACAGCGTCACTGTGGATTAACCGCGTTTCAGAAATTTTCCTAAAATCCCTGTAAAATTGTGTATCAGTTTTTTCAGTCAAGCTGGATTAATTACACAACTTTTTACGAGTTGTGCAGTATCAAATGGTGTAACCACAATTCTAGAGAGTATTGTAGAAACATCTAAAGCCTTTTTTTTCACAACTTATGAATGGAGCATTGCGATAAAGTGCAAAGTTCATATTAAACGCAACGTCCACCCTAAGTCAAAAGTCTTGTGCTTTCGGCAGCAGGAACCCTATCAGGCCATGCCCAAGGTACTGAGCGAAATGTCGCTTCTGAAGCGAGAAAATCGCTTCGAATAGCGAAGCTGCATGGGGACCTCAAGTTGGCACCGCCCCTCCAGTAATGCCCGCCCATCCATGCGCGCCCATTCAATCCCCATCGAGGAAAGTCAGCCTGTGAGTTCTCGGGAAAGGGGATTGGATGAGGCTTTCTCGATTTATATTCGGATTCAGGGATATGAGAAGGCCCCGGAACGATCAAAACATGGAAGTCGAGAATCTGGGTCGAAGTGCCTTTGAATGTCAGCAGCTCCAAAGCCTAGTGGGAGTTTCGGGGTTGTTTGTTTGCTTCTGAGGCAAAATAGAGCCATCAGTAGCTCAAAACTCTCTTCAGAACTCCTATCGTAATCCTTCAGTAATAAAACGCGATCGGCCACTCGTTCCGCACTTCAAATCTAAGTAAAAACCAGCACTAACAGATTGATTACCATTTGTCTGCAAAAGGTTACAAGTCAAGGGATCTACTCGCTATCAAACAGTGGTTACGTACTGTTGAGGTGTCCCGTATAACACAACTATTCTAAATGAGGAAAGTTTGTGGTAAAACTTTTTATAAAATTTTTTGATTTTCAAACAAAGGTTAAGCAAAGTTACTGCTTCCCTTTCTTGCACTTAAATGTGGATAAAACATTTTCCAAATAAACTATTGCAAATTTCATCATTTCTTATTTTCGATGACCAAACGCAAAATTAAAAAATTTTCATTGCTTTATTATTCAATATGTGTAGTAGAAAGTCGCCAATGTATAATCTCCTCTTCAAAGTGGTTCAAATCCGTCAAAATGGTTAGAATTTGAGTAATTTTGAAATATGCAGTAAAACTTTCGGGACACTAATATCTCCTTCAAATCAATCTATATCTCACATTGAATAAAAGACAATGTTAGATGTGAACATGCGAACGCTATTTATTTCTATTTTGCTCTACATTTTCACATTCTAAGTAGAAGATGACGGAGTGGACGCATATGTGTGGTATTTTCGAGTCGGTTGGCCATTTTTTACTCTTTTTAGGTCTTCGGACACCACCTGCTCACATATTCTTGTTTTACCATTACTAAGCCATTTCTTATCATCTTTCTTTAGTCCTTATACTGACGATTCCAAAAACAAGAAGAGCAGAAGCAAATCAACTTTTTCACTCAGTTCAAGAAAAATTGGCATCATCGAAAAAGAATCGGTGATCGCCAAATTCATACAGAAACTGCTGGCATTTAGAAAAGTCTTCCGACTTCATAAAGACCGAAAAAAGTTTTTGTCCAATTTTGACATTGTGCTATTTACTGGCCGCGCTTAGTGCTCAAAAATGTAAGAAAGCTTGGATGTCAGTACCCACAGGATTTGTTAATTGTAGGCAAAGGTAGCTTTGAACAAAAAATGAGAAATAATTGAACGAAAATGTCACAATTTTTGCGCAGAATTGCCGAGGGTAGAAGTTGCGCATGGCTAAATGTTTTGCACCGGTTCTAAAACTCTCGCGCTGATATACAGCTCTAATATCCTGAACATCATTATTCAACAACACCTTTAATGACATTCTTACGATATGAAAAGATTTGAAGAATTATATTCTGCGTCCAAAATTTGTCATTAAAGCTGCGATAAGATTGAGTGAGGTTAAGCAGCCCTCACCCAATCTTATCGGAGCATCCTCTTTGAATTCATCTCCATGCACTTTTATCTCACCTTTCGCTTTGGCTTCTTTTTCGTTTTGTGTCCTTTCTATCTCAAGTTGGTCCTTGGGTATAATCTTTGCTTCTTCACGGAATTTCTCTCTAAAAATAACGTAGTGATAGAGGAACTGATGCAGGAACTTCTGAAACTGCTATAAATACACAATCCGTATCTAAAACTTTGATTTGCTGTAATGAAAGCAAAGAGATCGCGTCCCCACATTAGCATTAATTCCTTTTCAAAAATCTTCTGAGTTTTGTGGCAATAATTTGAGTCTCGACATCCCCAGTTTTTAGGGCTCGTCACGAGTTTGTATTAGTTTAATTTTAAAAGAAGTCTCCTTTAATCTTGATAATTTCGTACGAAGTCACCAATGACCCTAAACGGGAAATGTCAAAAAAACTTTCAACAATCGGGGAGATCAGCAGATCAAATTTTCATAATGATCAGATATCAAGCGGCCTTACCTTGTTTTCATTACCCTCACATTGCCCAACCGATCGCAAGTCTTTGCAATAGGCCTTGGTTGAGGTGATAGATCAGAGAAAAACAGAAGCAAAACACCGTAATTATTACAATCACTGTACTAAACAAAGAACAACTACAGCGTAAATCCCGGCCAGCTTCCATGGAGACGGTCAAGAGGCGCGATCTCTCTGGCCGTCACCATCTCAAAACTCAAGTTTAGGCTGAGCAAATTTTCAAAAAGCACCAGATAAAGTACATTGGCTTACTAGCTATCCAAAGTTACCACTTATTGAGTTTGAAGGTTTTGCTGAGATTCTGATCAAAATAAGCACTAATTTATTATTAATTCCATTTTCATAAGATCAAAACCTTCAACATTTTCGTTTTCAATTGAATTTGAAACAGTAACTGTGAAGAACTTCAACATTGCATAATGCGTAACCATACAATATAATAGGTTGGCCCGAAAGTTCTGTCGCACCATTTTCAAAATTTCATAACTTCTGATTTTTCCAAACGATTTGACTGCTTCTAATTTTATGTGAAAGAATAATTCATGCTCTTTATAATGAACTCTTAGCTGCTTGCAAATGTTCATCTTTTGCATAGATAGGAGGATAGAAGAAAAATTGTCAAGATTCGAATTTTCTGTGCAGGGTCATAAAAAATCGGTAACTTGCAGCAAAAATCGGAGCAGTCAATATTGTATGTTTCGCCAGCTCTTTCCAACAGTGCAAAGTTCGCGTTGATTGAGCGTCTCTTTAAAAAGTTACGATTTTTGAGCAAGCAATACAAAAGGGCGAATTTGATTTATTTTGACATTTTTCAGGGAAATCATAACTTTTCATAGAGACGGTCAATCAGCGCAAACTTTGCACGTTAAAAAGAGCAGCTAATAAAACCTATAATACTGACAGCTCAGATTTCTACTGCAAGTTTCCGATTTTTTATGACCCTACACAGAGAATTCGAATTTTGATTAATTTTCTTCTATCGCTCCTACCTATGCAACAGATGACCATTAATGAGGAGCTAAGATGTCATTATAAAGAGCAAGAGTCTTTCTTATAAAAATAAAAGCAGTTAAATCGGTTGGAAAAATAAGAGGTTATGAATTTTTGAAAATGGTGCGACAGAACTTTCGGGCCAACCTAATATATTCTCTTAATTCTAAGATACTACCAAGATGTTATAAAACACTAAATATGCGCTTTTGAAGAAAGCTTTCGAAGAAAAATTACCCTTGAAAATTTACTCAAATTTTAATTTCTTAGAAAAAAAGAACACAAGACTACTACACAAGGCTGAAGCTCGCAGGACTGTTAGAGCGCGTAAAATTTCGTCAACGGTTATCGCGGATTCCTTATACCTGAAATGGAGGAAATATAGCACAACAAAAACAACTCATGTCAGAAGTTAGGACAGAGGCGCACTAAAGGCTGCGTTGCGGGTGCGTTGCGCGGGTACCTATGGGAAGCTGGGTTACATGACGGGGTTTCACGCGCTTTAATATTCCTGAGAGCTTCAGTTTTGGTAGCTTACTTCAAAAGCTTTTTTATACGTAAAAAAAGTCCCTTTCGGCTTTATTTGTAAAGTGTAGACAGTGCCTCAGGTCAAAATTAAGCCTTTCGAGAATCCGGTAGGGATTTGTTTACAGAAATGGCCATGTTTCTTGAATTTTTTTCCCTTGTAGTGTCTATGTTTAGAAGACGTTTGAGAATGCTGCTGTTCTTTTTCTTTTCTACGCACTCTTATTACCGCATCTATAAGTGCAAGTTCGAAATCTGCATCCATTGAGTGGATTTGAGGTACTAAGGGCTACGCTTTATTCTTGCATAGGTTTCTTTCGAAGTGAACCAGAGGTTTCCACTTTTCACTTCTCTCCTATGTGTACGTAGATATGCTCTACTGCTCATGAGCACGGCTCGGCACAGGTGGCTTGCTAAGCAAGCTGGATGTCGTTTTTGAGAGAAAAAGCAAAAGGGTTAGATTAGAAACATTAGAACATTAGAACATTAGAAGCTTGCTGGATTTCCGCTAGGAATCCAAAAATGAATAGGAAAGAGGAATGCATCGCCATCACAAACGAACTCGCGCCGTTCCTGGAGTTATGCGGGTTTGACCAACACCCTCATACCCGGGTGCCGTAGCTCATTAGTCACTCAACGCATGTCAGTGGTGGTCTGCAGTCCTCACTCGGCAGGTTTAAGGTGAGCTGTCTATAAGCATTCACAACTTTCCCTTTTCCTGTGACGATAAGACAACTGGAGGGTAGATTTCATTTACTGCTCACTTTTTAGGCTCTGAAGAAGGCGAATCAGCCTTAACGTAAGCCTAATAAAAGAGTTGTAACAATCTTGGTCAAGGCTTAACAACTGCACAAAGGGGTTTCGTTTGCGGCGAGGTCAGAAGCGAAAGTGGGAAATTGAGTGGGAAAGAGTGGGAAATTGAAAACGATGACCAGCTTACAGATAATCTCTGATGAGAAAACCAAGACGAGAAATGACAGAAAAATGGCGCAACCTGAACGCAACTACGTTCTTTTTCCTTCCCCCTCCCCTCCCCCCTCTTTTGATACACCTCATCATCTTCTGGAAACGTAAGAAGTCCTCACCACTGCGGTAACGATCTCACTCTTGGCAAAACTAGCAGCTTTTTGCTCTAATATGCTCTCCGTACGCGAGTGCAAAGAGCGGGAATTCAAAAAAGGACCCCACGATAAACAAAAAGCTGGTTTACAGTGAAGAAAAAACGTTGTGACACCAAATTGGTGAGTACATGGGAATAGGGACTAGAAACTATGTATGAAAATTATGAAAAACTTATGTGAAATGGAGACGTGGCAAACTTTTTTTGGGATTAGGTGGCTTTCAAGCCACCTGGATAGCCACCTGAGGTGGCTCAGGAAAGAAAAAGTCATATATTTTTCTCCCTCACATAAGTTTTCCGAACTTTTTTCATGATTGCATTCTTCATCTCCTTCCCTATCCGTAGAAACCTAAATCGCCGCAAACCCCCTCCTCTCCTGTCAGTTATAGGTTCTCAAAGATTTGTGGTGCGATTTCGCAGTCTGCTCCAGCGCACAATAGTGCGCTGGCGACAACGCGGCGCCAAAGCATACCCTTCGAGGCATTCTGTTGTATTTTGCTTGCTCTGCTTGATCTCTTTCTTGCTGTTTTGCTCACACTCATCCTTCTCGTTGTGGGCGACATGAACTACACTTCCCTAACGGGTCTGGTCCAGCTCTGCGGAAGAGTTAGTTCATTCTTCCGTTTGCTGTGCAAATTTTTTGCATGTTTCCACTTGGAAAGGATAATTACTGATGTGCTATGGCGTCATTTAAGCTGCTGATTCTTTGTTTATCACGCACTGATTCTTGGCTGTATTTTTTTCAAAGTTTCATTTTAGAAGCAGCTGAGTTCATTCCTATTTTCTTTGCGACAACGCCTACCTGCGTTCGTCATATCCTTACACATCTGGGTAACCTTTTCTTCGCACTGTCGACTTTCTTTAGTTTTTTTTTGTTGTGGATTATATCTTGACTACCGGCAATCATCTTTGTTCTTAGTCTCGGGTAGAGTTAGTATGGTCGCGATTTCATCGTCGCGATTCATCGCGACCATAAAATCGACAAGTGTTACAGTTCATTGCATGCCGATATTCTTCTGTTTCGGTTATGATTAGTCACGATTAGTTGAAAAACTATCACAACCGAAATGCAAGAAGATCGGCATGCAATGATATTGTTACAGTTGTCTTGTCGCGATGAATCGCGACGATGAAATCGCGTTAACTCTGCCCGAGGCCTCGTTTTTTGGAGTTTTTTTCTAGGAATTATGGTCTATGGTCAAAAGGGGCTTTGTAAAAATTCGCAAATGTCAAGGGGACTTCGTTTTTTGCATTTTCATCTAGCCACCTCGTGTTAAGCCCTGCTCATGAGTGCGGTGAGAAGCATCAAGAAGGGCGCGCGTTGCAGTTTCGCCGCGGAGGTACCTATGGGAAAATAGCCGGGGTCTACACTATGAGTGTTTAAGCTGTTTCTAAGCGACTGTTTAAATTTCTTTGAGGACAAGCGAGTAAATAAGCAAGTACGGTCATCGCTTTATAAAATAAGCCAAATGAAAATTAGCGCGCTTTCGCATTCCCAGACTTTTTATAAAAATGATGCTAATTAGTCTTGTGTCCATTTCTCATAAGTTCCAAATATTAGATTGTATTAAAGTTCCTGCAGGTTTTTCAAAGAAAATGAAAAAGTGTAACAATACTTATGCTACAACCTAAAATGTTTATATTTTGATAATCAGTTTTAATCGCCTTTTTTCAAGCTTATATGATAACATGCAAAGAACTGCTTTCATAGAAGCTTGGATGCGAAAAACACACGTGGGCTGATTTTTGCAGATAAACTCATCACTGATCTAACAAAATTACAAAGGTTGTGTTTGAAAACAGTACGTGACAATGACAAGTACATGGTCCGGAAAATAATGTCTTGTCAGGTGCTATCGTGTAATATCACGAGATTTACGAAAAAAAAATTATGTGAAGTACTTTCGTTAGAGCAAAGCAAGTACAAGCTGGAGCTCAAACTTTCTCATATTTGATTCAAGTGATGGTTGAGGCCAGGGTTAGAAAATTCTAAATGCATGAAAAATGGAAAAAAACATATCGCCGTTAGAAAACCTACCAGACCCCAGCTTGTTCAAGCATATATTCGACGTTGTATGAACCATTTCGCGAGATTTCCATGGTAAGAAAACGAGAAAACGAAATTCGGCATGCTTTTGCAAAAGCAGTTTTGGGCTTTTTCTGGTCAGATGATTTTATAATTCAGACTGAAGATACATCAAGATCTCAGCTTCCTTAAGCACTCGTTTTCGAAAAATGTTAACAAAAACCCCAAAAATTGTTACATTTTCTTATTTTTGGCCTATTTTTGTTTTATGCATTTTAGCCACGGGAAAATCTACCAACAGTATATGTTGAAACTGATATGTACAGTACATGCGCAAGCGAGTTGAAAGCTCGTAGGAATTTTAAAAAAGGTGATTCAAATTTTCATTATGTGAAATTTTCTACAGTTTGACTTCATTCATGTGGATCAGAGCTTGAGTGATGTCCAGATCTCAATTTGTAAAGGTTGCTTTGTTCTATCAACTTATACCGCGGAAATTTTGTTTACACCCTGCCGTGGATGCGAAATTAGTTGTCGACATCCGTATAGAACCGCAAAGTCTTACATAGCCTCTGTGATCTTCTGATCCTTGAGGCCTCGATCATTCTCCAGAAATTCTGCAACCATAGAGCGTAAGCACGATTTGACAAATTACTAGTTTGTCCTCACCTCTTATCGACTCGGTGTCTACTTTATACTTTTCTTCTCCAGTCTTTCGTCCTTCTTCTGTATCTGTATAGAGTTTACTCCAGTTGTCAGAATCGTACCCCTATAATCATAAACTACGCTTTATGCAATTTTTCTACTTCGTAACTCAACCTGAATAAGTAGAGCTGTTATGAAGTAGACGAAAATCTTATTTGCATTCCCTTCTACTTTCACAATCCTATCGAAGACATCATCAAGATACGTTTCGTGATCTGCTCCTTCCAGATTTCTTCTTTTGTCATTTTTGTTCTTGGCTGCTTGCCGCACAGGCTGTGAACGCATTCTTTTTATTACTCAGTAATTACAGGATTCGCAAAAAGCGAATAACTAGATCTATTTAGAAAGTGCTACTGTAAGCATTGAAAGCCCAGCAATTCGCTTACCTCCATAGCAGCAATGACTCGCATAATGTCCAGTATCTTCTCAGATGTTTCTATTCCTTGCAATAGTTTGATTCTATCAAGGATGCTAGGTGGACGGTGTATTTTCAAGTAGAACTCAACCCATGTCATCTCAAGTTTGTTGTCTTCATAGTTTGCCTTCATGCACTAAAGAGGTTGAGGGGCTCAATTGGGTTACATTGGGTTATTGAGGTGACCAGATTCAAGAGAAAAAAGCTTACCCTGATAATTTGTCCTCTGACTCTCGTAAGCATTGCAGTGGCTTGGATTTGCTTAAATAGCACTATTTCTAAGATACAGATTTGATAGCGAGATAATGATATCAACATCTCTTATCTAATATTTCAACTATTTTGTCTCAAAGAATTGATTCGAATTCTCTGTGCCCTAGTTAGCTAAGCCGCTAACACATGCCTGTAGGTGCGAATCCAACTGTGCAGAGATCTGGGTGCAAAAGCATCCAATTAGGCATGGCAGCCGTAATTGAGAAAGAAGCAAAAAATGAGGCGTATTTGGGTGATGCTAAGATATTCGATTCATACATGTTCAGGTAGCATTTTTCATACGTGAAAGTTAGCCGGTTTAAGATAAAACTGGATTTGGTCCAAATTCGCGGAGACTTGATTTTTTTGCATATTTCCACCGACCACCAGGCGGTTCTTTTCCCAGAATCGAATATTCCAAGATGAAAAACTTGAACAGCAGGTACCACTCAAAACGTAAACGTAGTTTTGACTCTTCAATCAATCTATCTTTTGTATCACGGTCTTGGAAATGAGGCACCGCATCGTTAAGGGATCACGCGCACCTCATTTCAAGAACACGTACCTAGAAAACGATTTCATATAACAAACCGAATTCAAACTATTCTGTTATAAGAGTCCTTGTATTCTACAGATTACGAAGTCGTATGGCCACAGATGAAAAGTTTTGAAAATCATGATTCTGTGAAATCCGCACTTAGCGTCTGCGAGCTAACACGCTATTGAGGGGCTAAATCAGCCAGCATCACATCTGGATGTAACACTGCAATGCAATTTCCTTTCAATTCGCTCAAAAAACTCTATAGTTACCTAGAATCTTCTTAAATTTGACCTGTTTAACGAAAATATGTCAACTAATCACTAAATGCTGTGTGTAAAGCCTTTTTTGTTGATCCGAAGCATCTTCTAAGTCGGAAACTTGCTAGGAATTCGTAAATCTATTTCTTGATCCATGAAACTTATTGTCAAGGAAATTAGCGCCCACGACGGTTTTGTCGCGACAAATACGTCGCGTTAGTTCAAACAAAAGCATTTTCAAAAATCAAACGTAAATTCTAAACCGCCAGGTTCATAGCAGCCCAGTGATGTTTTCAGTTTCTTTTGAAAACGTTTCAAAAAAGTTATAGTATTGCGACGGTTTTGCGAAGATAAATATGCCGCGACGGAAAAATTCGTCGCAATCCGTTTTTTTTCCAGGAGTTAGGAGCTCAGTTGTAATATACAAGCCATTTACGAGAGGAACCTAGGGGTTAATTATTTGTTCTCTAGTTTCTAGCAATTAGTGTTCGATATATCCAATACATGCGCCACCTAGTTTGTAGCTTACGGGATTTTTATTTGCGAAAAATTTCTTCTTTTTTCTTTCTTTTCTTTATAGGGGCGAAGTTTGCCATTTTACTTCACTCATTTTTTTAAAAGATTATGATTTAGATATTTGAATTTTTTTATTGATTTGAATATTTTTCAAGAATTATAAGCTCAAATTTCTCTTCATATTCTATGTGGATGCGAGTTATAAGAATGTTAGGATCATCTTGTGAGATCTGCTTTGTCTTAACAAATAGTGTCCTACTCACTCATAAGGAACCCATATCTTCGGCTTTTCAGTGCAAGAAAATGGCGAAAATAAGCTTTTTCCGAAAATTCCCAAGTCCGCATTTAGTGGTGAAGTGGGAGGGCCCGAAGCGTGGGAGGCGGGACGAGGCTTTTTCCGCCGTATATTCTTTGCATGCGGACCTGGAAAGCTTCGGAAAAAACACATTTCCCCATTTTCATGCGCTGAGAAGCCCAGAAATAGATTTCTCAAGGCGAGAAGGCCCCAAAAACGGGAAAATCTCGAAAACGAAATTTTGCCGAGACGCTGACTTTAATCCCCCTTTTGTAACTTAGCGATATACTAGTTAGAACCATTTTTTCATCACAAATTTTGTATAATTACCTGTCCAGCGGTTGCGTTCATGAAATTGACTGGTGTGCTTGTAGAGTTTGTTGGTGGAACTACAGCTTGTGATGGTTTATAGCTTGGGTATAAAGATGAGTAAGGCGGAGGCTAAAGCGTTCTTTTCTTCCTGTTGTTAGGGTTTTTTCTTATAAATTATCTTACCGGTTCAGGTGAACTTGACCGTGAAAACATCTCATGGAGCTGTGCAAATAAAGCAAAGCTAAAATGGACATACTTAAGTATGTTGGTAGGACATTCGTGAGAGTTCAAAAAAGTTGAAGATTGTTGGAAAGAAGCTTAGCTCGAACAATGTTTTACGTCAAAGGTGGAGCCTTGCGAGACAGCGATAAGAGTCACGATAAGAAAATGCATTGCCAGCAAGTTCGCAAGTGCTGAGCCAGCTTATTCGAGTGCAAAACGGATTTGCGTTAGCATGTTTTTTTTTTGTAAAGAGGAATGTATGATTATAGTGCGGTAGACAATAACATGAGCAATAACATAACATAAACATTATAGAATCCTTAGACATCTGTTTTAAAAAATGGATTTGAAGGATATGCTATCAGTTACGATATGGCACTTCAAAAATCTAGGTACATAAGCACACTTAATAACGAGCACATGTTTATCCATTTGAACAAAATAGGTAAGATATGTTTGCCCCAGTTGTCAAGAATCTTTTACGCAAAAAGCCTACATTTGCCAAAAATTGAAGTCCAACTTCTTTAACAACATATCGCAGGCACTTTTGAAATCTTGCGATTGTCATATTGCGATAGTTTTTGATCCAGGAAATGTCAAAATAAAATTGCTGGCATTACAAAGTAATAAGTGTAGACTTTCGCGATTTTCCTTCTGAGAAATAGTAGACAAACTTTGAATAAGTGTGAGATAACGCATAGATGACGTGACATCAGTCTGGTACATCATGCTGGCATCAAATTTTTGGTGTATTTGACCACTTTTTTTGTTTTTCTACCCTATCTCTAGGAGTTTCGAGTTACTTTAGACGGAGCTTTGAATCAAACATTTTGAAACTATGAATCATCACAAGTGTTAGGCCTCGGACAGTGTTTACGCGATTTGGTCGTCGCGATTCAATCGCCACGAGACAAGTGTTACGAGTTCATTGCATGCCGATCTTCTTGTATTGCGGTTGTGATAGTTAGTCACGATTACTTATGTTGGAAAACTATCACAACCGAAATGCAAGAAGATCGGCATGCAATGAACTCGTAACATTTGTCTGTAGCAATTGAATCGCGACGATCAAATCGCGTAAACTCTGCCCGAGGCCATAGAGCTGCTTCGAGTCAAACGTCGCGATCTGGTGGTATGCTTTTCGCAATGAAAATCTTTGAAAGTTTCAGTTTTTGGAACAAAGTGGATCAGCGGCATTAAGAAACTCAAAAAACCTTTTATTTTGTTTTTAAGTGTGGTCATGCACTCCGAAACAAAATAGAGAGAACTTGTAGGACACATATACAGGGTGTCTCAAGATAATGTGCGCATTGTTTGATCGTTAATAACTTCGCTCGCTTCTGTGTTTCGCCAATCTTTAGGAACCGTTCTGTAGAACTGGCTTCAACTTAGGTTGAGAATATGAAACGAGTCGTCGATCGCCCTTCGTTGCTGTAGGATTACGGTAGGAACTCCCGGCATATGGCGCCATTGTAAAGTGGCATTTGACAAAGAAGATTCCAAAAAAAGCTGAAAAAGTGTGCAGCGGGTTCTTTCATACACGCTGTTCATTATGCAACTTTGCACAAAATCTCCGAAGAATTCTAAAGGTGTAATCACGTTTTGAAGAGCACTGCGAAAGCAAGTATACTGTTTGCTCTAATAACTTATGAAGCACGCCTGAATGTAGTCTGCAAATTTACAAGGGTTCTATCTGATTTGATTCTACAACCATACTGATCTGCACAGTAACCGATAATCTTCAGCAAAAAGTAGAAGAAGAAAGAAAGTAAGAAGTGTCTTCCAGTGCAAAGCAGTGGCAGAAGTGGAAGTACGTGGCATTATCGTTCTACCATCTTTCCAAAAAGCGCGAAACGCGCCTTATCTGGTAATAATTGCGCGTCTAAACTTGAGATTAGCACCAGGACGTTTTATGGCAGGATCGACAGCTTTTCGCTAGGAGTTCAGATGGGTAACATTTGATCACTAGCAAACAAAATTTGAAACCTTATTTGCATTATTGGGTCTGACAACATCGCAAGAACAAGAACTGGAATACCTTTGATAGAACACGGATTAGGGGTTCAAGGGGGAGTATTGATTACTCAGCATTTGCTTTCGGCTCTTTATGATCTTAGGCTTTGAACTGAAATGGATACCTATGAATGCGGATTGTAATAAACAACATTCTAATGAATTATGAACTCAATAAAATAAGGAATTGGTTTTTAGTACCCTCTGTGGAGTGCGACAGACCCATTTATCTTTTAGGGCCGTGTGCATTCACGTCCATTCGAAAGAGGATCGCAGAAGGCTTCTTATCCTGAAACTCCGAATGTCTAGATTTTACCTGTCTTCCCATCCATAAGTACTACCCTTTACTAAAAACATTCAACAGGAGCTAGAAGTTGTACAAGCCGCATCTTTAAGCTTTTGTATGGTCCCTTAACAATTCGCGCCGGCCGAATGTCTTTTCTTCAGACAAAGTGAATTCCAGAATATGGACCTATAGGATATAAAGCTTTTCTTCTATGATGCGATCCCCTCAACGGCGGAGATAATAATGCAAGCGGTCTTTAGTTCATGAAAGATGTTATTCAGTCGTCTCAGTGAGGTATGTGGTTACAGGATAGTGCATCAATCCTTTCGAATTATTCGTTACCGCTTTTTTCAGTACATTACCAGCAATTTGACTGATTATTAGCTTATGGCATATACATACAACAAGAAAAACGACGTGCGTTTTTTCATAGGCAGCG